AATAATAATGATCAGAATGAAATAAGTGAAATAGAGCCTAAAAAAAAAAAAAATACAAAAGATCACTGAAACAAAAGAGCTGGTTCTTTGAAAAGATAAACACAAGTGATAAACCTTTAGTCAGACTCAAGAAGAAAAAAGAGAGAACTCAAATAAATAAAGTCAGAAAAAAAGAGAAGTAACAACCAACATCAAAGAAATACAAAGGATTATAAGAGACTATTATAAAAAAGTATATGCCAACAAATTAGACAACCTCAAAGAAGAGATAAATTCTTCAAACATACAATCTTTCAAGACTGAATCAGGAAGAAATAGAGCATCTGAATGGACCAGTTACTAGTAATGAAATTGAGCCAGAAATAAAAAAAAAAAACTTCCAAAAAACAAAAGTCCAGGACCAGATGCTTCACAGGAAAATTCTATCAAACATTTAAAGAGGAGTTAATACCTATCCTTCTCAAACGATCTCAAAAAAAAAATTCAGAAAGAAAGAATGCTTCCAAATTTATTCTATAGAGCAGCATTACCCTGATACCAAAGCCAGATAAAGACACTGAAAAGAAAAAAATGAAAGAAAAGAAAAAAGAAAAGCATTACAAGCCAATATCCCTGATGAACACAGATGCAAAATTCCTCAACAAAATATTAGCAACCTGAATTCAACAATATATTAAAAGGATCAAGTGATCACCATGATAAAGGGGGATTTACTGCAAGCATGCCAATATGGTTCAATATCTGCAACTCAATCAAAGTGATATACCACATTAACAAAATGAAGGATAAAAATCATATGATCATAAAAACTTTCAACAAAGTGGGTAAAGAGGGAACATATCTCAACATAATAAATGCCATGTATGACAAATCCATAGCTAACACCATATTCAACAGTGAAAAGCTATATGCTTTTCCTCTAAGATCAGGAACAAGACAAGGGTGCCTACTATCACCAATTTTATTCAACATAGTATTGGAAGTCCTAGCCACAGCAATCAGACAAAGAAAAAGGAATAAAAGGCATGCACATTGGTAAGGAAAAAGTAAAACTGTCACTAATTGCAGAGGACATGGTAATAATATACAGAAAACTCTGAAGACTCCACCAAAACACTATTAGAATGAATGAATGAATGAATTCATTAAAGTTGCAGGATTCAAAATTACTATACAGAGTGCTGTTGTGTTTCTATACACTAAAAACATACTAGCAGAAAGAGAAATTAAGGAAACAATCCCATTTACAATTACATCAAAAGAGTACAATATATAAGAATAAGTTTAATCAAGGAGGTGAAGGACCTGTACTCTGAAAACTGAAAGACACCTGATAAAAGAAACTGAAGATGAAACTTAAGGGAAAATATACCATGCTCATGGATTGGGAGAATTAATACTGCTAAAATGTCCACACGACCCAAAGCAAACTACAGAGTTGATGCAATCCGTACCAAGATACCAACAGCATTGTTCACAGAACTAGAACAAACAGTCCTACAATCTGTATAGAACCACAAAAGACCCTGAACAGCCAAAGCAATCTTGATCAAGAAGAACAAAGTGAAGACATCACACTCCTCGATATCAAACTATCTTATAAAACTATAGTAATAAAAACAGTATGGTACTGGCACAAAAACAGATACATAGATTAACAGAACAGAAAAGATAGCTCAGAAATAAACCCACCCTTGTATGGTCAATACATCTACAACGTAGGAGGCAAGAATATACATTGGGGAAAAGATATCTTTTTAATAAATGGTGTTGGGAAAACTGGACAGCTACATGCAAAAGAATGAAACTAGACCATTTTCTTACACCATACACAAAAATAAACTCAAATGGATTAAAGACCTAAATGTAAGGCCTGAAACCACAAGTGTCCCCAAATAAGGCATAAGGAATAGACTCTTGGGCATCAGGATTAGCCATAGTTTTTTGGGTCTGTCTCCTCAGGCAAGGGCAACAAAATCAAAAAGTAATTGGGACATCAAACTAAAGATCTTTTGCAAGGAAATCATCAACAAAATGAAGACAACCTAGTAAATGGGGGAAGATATTTACAAATGATATATCTAATAAGGGCTTAATATCCCAAACATATAAAGAATGCATACAACTCAACACCAAAACAAAAACAAAAACAAAAACAAAAACAGCAACCAATTTAAAAATGGGCAGAGGACCTGCATAGACATTTTTTCCAAGGAAAACATATAGATGGCCAACAGACACATGAAAAAAATGCTCAGTATCACTAATCGTCAGGGAAATGCAAATCAAAACAATAACACCTCACACCATTCATGTGTGAATGACCATAAAGACAAGAAATAACAAGTGTTGGTGAGAACATGAAGACCAGGGAATCCTTGTGCACTGTTGGTGGGAATGTAAATTGGTGCAGCTGCTGTGGAAAAGAGTATGGAGGTTGCTCAAAAAATTAAAAACAGAAATATCATATGATCCATCAATTCCAGTTCTGGGTATTTATCCAAAGAAAACAAAAGCATTAATTCAAAGGGATATATGTACCCCTATGTTTATTTCAGCATTGTTTATAATAGCCGGGATATGGAAGCAACCTGTGTCCATATATAGATAAATGGGTAAACATAATATATATGTGGGTACACACACACACACACACACACACACACACACACACACACACTGGAATATTACTCAGCCATAAAAAAGAATGAAATCTTGCCCTTTGTGACAATATGGATGGACAGAGAGGGCATTGGACATTATGCCAACTCAAAGTGAAATAAGTCAAGCAGGAAAGACAGATATTGTATGATTACGCTTATATATATAATCTAAAAACAAAACAAGTGAACAAACAAAACAAAAATAGACTCCAAACAAAGGGAACAAACCAGTGGTTGCCAGAGGGAAGGGGTGGGGGCAGGGACGAAATCTGTGAAGGGGATTAAGAGGTTCAAACTTCCAACTATAGAATAAATAAGTCACAGGTATATAAAGTTCGGCATAGGGAATATAAGTGCCAGACGATAACTCCATTTACCATGGTGAGTACCGCATAATGTATACAAGTTCAAATCACCAGGTTGTGCCCCTGAAACTAATATAATATTGCATGTCAACTATACTTCAATTTAAAGAAAATGACTTCCTCTTTTATAGGGTTTTACGGAGACTGAACTTGCACTTTGCAGAGCGCTTAGCAGACTGCTTGCCACATAGGAAATGACAGACATCAGCTATGGATAGTGGTTTTATTTTCCTTGGGTCGCTTAGGACAGCTCTTCTATCTATCAGATTTGAGATCCCAACATATGTGAAATTACTGCATCCCATTTGCTACCATCAGAATTCCTGCTGCTGTCACCCGCTGCGCGTCAGGGGCCCACGGTCCAGGGCGTGGAACAGGAGGAGAAGACGTCAACCTTCAGAGGTCAGGCTGCTCTCAGGCGTCAATGAAACTGCAGAGGACCCTGCAGAGGCCCGAGCACCAAAGGCTTTTCAGCCCAATCCTACCTAATCTTATCTCACTTAAGGACTTTCTCCCCTGATGTTTAGATTGAACAGGCATTACTTTAATGAATGCAAAGTATACAGAGAAGTATAAAGAAAAGAGTAAAATGCTTTCCAAATCTTACCATCCAGAGAAAACACTATTACCCCTTCAAGACTTTTCTCCGTACACACAGTCATATACACACAGGTTTATTATTTTTTTTAACTTTTTAAATGTTTATTTAAGAGAGAGAGAGAGAGAGAGAGAGAGAGTACACATGCACGAGCAGGGGAGGGGCAGAGAGAGAGAGAGAGAGAGAGAGAGAGAGGATCCCAAACAGGCTCCTCACTGCCAACGCAAGGCCTGACGTGGGGCTCAATCTCACAAACCATGAGATCATGACCTGAGCTGAAACCAACAGCCAGGCACTTAAATCACAGAGCCACCCAGGTGCCCCCATAGACATATAATTTTAAAAGAAGTGACATCACACTACCCTGGCTGTCGCATGCCTGTTTTGTTCTCAAGAATATCCTTCTGAGGGTTGCTGAGTGGAGGTGGGGGGAGGGAGGGCTAAATGGATGATTGGCATTAAGGGGGGCACTTGTTGGGCTGAGCACTGGGTGTTCTACGGAACTGATGAATCCCTGGGCTCTACTCCTGAAACCAATACTACACTGTACGTTAACTAACTTGAATTTAAATAAATAAATTTTTAAAAATTAAAAAAAAAAAGAAACATCTTTCCAATTCACTCATTAGAGATCTACGTGCTCATTCTTCGCTGGGCTCTAACCTGAAGCCACGTGTTCTGCTTGGTGGTCATAAGTGGTTAACAAAAGAAAAGATTAACATCTGCCTTAAATAATGACTTAGAAGAAAAGATTAACATCTGCCTTAAATAATGACTTAGATTAAAATCTGAGGTGAGCTGTGAGGTTCAAGTGGATTTTAAAAACAAGTAACAACAACAACAACAAAAAAATCGGAGGCATTTGGTTCTTTTTTACGAATACGCTGGAGAGAAGGGAGACCCGTGCCCTGCATGTGCTGTGTGGTATACACCCCATTCCCTAAATGGCTATTACTTGTGGAATGTGAAACTTGGGGAATGAACTTTTCATCAAACGAGAACTCGCCCGTAAACCTCAGGACATTTTCAGGACTTAAAAATCTTACTTTATCTAGATCACAGCTCTTTCCATCTTGGCATCAAAAAGTTCTTTCTGGATGCTAAACAAATATGAAAATGGTGGGTCTGCAGTCAGTTTTGCTATCCCCTGCCAGGCTGGGGGTGCATTCTAGAGGCCACACACGTGTGAGTCCTTCTCACCTGGATGCCACCACGTCCCCATACCCCTGGTCTGCAAGCCCTTACTAACCAAGTCCCCACCTCAGGGGACACTCGAAGGACCTTTATCTGGAAGTCTGACCTCCTCACTCCTGGGATTCATTTCCACACTGGTAGCGGCAATGAGTGTGGATGAAAAGATGTTAACATACCAACATTCTTTTTATTCATTTTTATATTCTTCTCCTTATTTTGGCTACTGCTTCGAAAGTCAAGAGCGTTTTTGCCACTCCACTCCTGGATAATGAAAATACATTTATAGTAAGAGGATCGGCCTCGTACAAACTTCTGCTGGTTGAAGGAGATTACAGTCACAATTTCAAACTTGGAGTAGAGTTTATAAAACCGGATTTACTCTGAAAGTGGTCTCAAATGATCTGATATGACCTGATGGTTTCTGGGTGTCACAGGGAGCTTGGGCTGGGGGTGGGGAGAGGGGTGAAGACCAGAAGGCAGGGGTGGGAGACTGCAGAGCCAGGGAAAGCTCCACAGGGGCAAGGGGAGAGGGTCCAGCAGATGCAGAATCCAGGCATCAAGGATAGTAGGGAAGACGCAGGCAGGATGGCCAACCTAGCAAGAGTGAGGCCCCAAAGCAGACTAATGAGGTGGTCACCAAGGATTGAGTTCAAGAAGGCAAGTTTATATAAAGCGGGCCTGGGTCTCCTGATTAGGTAAAGCCCCATTTATCAATCCTGAAACCCAAAATAATGTCCCAACATGGCATTGAGAGAAACAGCTGATGGATCCCACAGAGCCCCCCACCCCGCCCCGCCCCAAACCCCAAACCTTCCTGCAGAGCAGAGAAGGTAGGGAGAATTCAACTGGCCCCACTTGGGACAGAAGTAGTTAGTGGTGCAGGAACCTAGCAGACCATCCATACAATTCTTCTCCCCCACCTCCACTTATTTGCCCTCCCAGGCAGGTTACTGACCAAAGAAAATTTGTTTTCACTATAAGTAGAGTTATAATAGTGAGTCACCATTATATTAAGAAATAGCCTTTATATAATAAGCCATACTACTCTTTCTAGGCTATCAGCAGTGAAAACAACATAGAAAATGTCCAGGGAAATTGTTTTCTTCATATTCGTGGCCTTTAAAGCAGTGGTTCTCAAACACGGTCCCAAGAACGGCAGCATCAGCATCACCCAGGAGCTTGTTCGAAACGCAAGTTCTCAGGTCCTACCCCCGACCTACAGAATCAGACACTCAGGGGTCTGGGTCCAGCAGTTGTGTTTCAATAAGCCTCCAGGAAACCCTGATCCAAGCTAAAGTTTGGGAACACTGGCCTAGTGGAAGGAACCTGGGCTGGGAGCCAGGACCTAATTCAGATTCCAGCTCTGGATTCCCTGGTCCAATTCAGTGAAATTTAATGAACAGTCACAACGTGCTATTGCAGGGATGTGAGGGTACTGAGATGAGCTATCCTGGTTCTTACCCTCGGAGGGTGTCTCACTTCTATATCCTTTTGCTCCTCTAGGGCTTGGGCTATTGTGTTCTGCTGCTCTTGTCTTGTTTCATATTTGTATTCCCAATGGTGCAGTGTCACAGACACTCAATATATATGCAGGGGACCAAGTGGTAGAGCCAGTCACAACTGTGATAAATACTACTGTACCATTCATCAATAACCTTAATGTGGCTCCAGTCTAGTTAACAACAGCCACTCTTTATTTTAATGCTTAGCGCAGGCCAGGTGCTGAATGTCCTATATCAGCTCATTTGATCCTTTTAGATGTCCTCTACCGTGGGTAGTATTGTTAATCCCACTTTGCACATCAAAAAACCGAGGCTCCAAGTAATTTGTCCAATGTCACACACTGAAAGTGGCAAAGCCAGCGATGAACCCAGCGATCCCTGTTCCAAAACCCGTGGTCTTAAAAATAATAGGGTTCTTTTTCAAATCCCACAAGCTCAAAAGCCGACCTTGGGCTACATTTCCAGCCTCGAAGGTTAGGGGATGATTATCCTCTTACTACGTACTTGAAACTGTACTTTGCAGGTTATCATCTTAAGTGGTCGAAGACTATCTTTATTTTTCCCATTTTCTGGTATCTTGACATTTAGTGTTCATTGAGTTACAAGAAAGTAAATAGTGGCGGAGAACTACACTAACATGTCACCAGACTATCCTGACCCTTAATATAGGAAAACAAAAGTGGGCACACAAGTCAGGCCAGGGCAGCCTTGAGAGGGCACTGAAGGAGAAGGCCAGTTCTAAGGGGTTGAGCCTTTGATGGAGCAGCCCAACTAAGGCAGCCCAGGGAGAAAAGGGGCAGAAATGAATGTAGCCCCTAGGCCCAAAGGCAGGGGGAGGCCAGGCTGTGGGCATCAGATCACGGGCCAGTACGGATGCAGAGGCAAACAGGGCAGCAAACAGGAGAAGCCGCCAAAGATCTGAAGTCAGTCTAAGGCTCTAGCGCCTGGCACAGTTACAAGTGTTGATAAAATAATGGCCCTTCCTCCCTCGCCATTTTGGCACTCTTCATAGGCTTCCTTTTTGTCCTCACTGTAAATCAAAGATTAACTTCACATCTGTCATCTACTATTTTCTTGCAAACAATTCATGGCCAGGAGGGCTCTGGTTAGGGTTGTTGGAGGCTGTAGGAACTGAGAAAAGAGAAATGGGATGTATAACCATAAGCAAAGACCTTACCTTACTAGGAGGTGGCCCATGATCATCCAAGTAAGTGGAATTTCCTAGGGAAAAAAAAAAGAAGAAAGTTGATGAATCAGTAGTTTTAAAACCAAAGCGAATTTAGTGCACAGTCATTGAAAACAAACATTCCAGATATATGTCTATTTAGACAACTCTACCAAAGAAAAATAGGTCATTAGTTGCCCGTTTGGTGGGATTTTGTTGACATTACCATGCTCAATTACACTTTCAGCAGTTACAAACATTGTACATACGTTGGTGCACACACACACACACACACACACACACACACACACACACACACAGAAACACGCAGCACAATTCCTCACCCCGTATCTGTTGAGTTTGCTTTAGACCAGTGGTTCTCAAACCTCAGTGTGCATCAGAATTGTCTGTAGAGCTTATTAAAACACAGATTGCCTGGGTCCCCTCCCAGAGGTTCCAATTCAGTGACTCTGAGAATCTGCATTGCACAAGCTCCCAAGTGATGCTGACGCTGCAGGTCCTGGAACCATACTTTGAGAACCACTGTTTCTCTACTTCGTCTTGATGGTCAATTTCCCTTCATCTTTTCAGTCTAGCTTGCTTCAGAAGCTTGATCTGTCTTGACGAACAGCCACTTTTCAGAGTACATGATTATCGTTTCCTGATGAATATAGATTCAGACTGGTTAGGGTGGGAACTAAAGGTCCCAGAGTTCCCTTTATGCAGCAGGTACCTGCTAAGTGCTTCCCACCTATTCACTTAATTCAAATTTTGGAGGTGGGTTATACTGATTCCCACTTACAGAGGAGGGAACAGAAGCCCAGAGAAATCCAGAGATTTGCTCAGGGTCACACCCTGTGACACTGCAGGAAAGACAGAAGATCGTTTCTTCCAGAGGATGCTTGGGGATCTGTTGCTCATCTGTCTGAAAAACCTACCTACCAGCTTTTGCAGAGCCCAAGCACCAGCAACATACTCTGGGCACTGACCGTGTACCCCAGACACCAACCCAGCAATACATCTGAGCCCGTGGGGTAGCCTATGATGCGCTCAGTGTATTCAAAGGCTCCCCTCCAAGGAGATAATGCTTGTCAGTCAGGGGAAATCACCTTCACAAAAAGTGAAGACAGTCAGCCTTTCTAACACAACAAAATTTAAAAAAATATTGGAAACACAAGGATATCTAGAGAGAACAGTAGCTTAAGGAGAAAGTAAGTGTCCCAGTTGGAGTAGATGAAAGCTGATTTTTTTTTAGAAGAATGCAAAAGTGACTTAGGAAATTGGAATAAAAAGGAGAAGTAAGGGGCGCCTGGCCGGCTCAGTCAGAAGGGCATGTGACTCTTGATCTCAGGGTCAAGAGATCGAGCCCCACATTGGGTGTAGAGAATGAATGAATGAATGAATGAATGAATGAATGAATGAATACACTTTAAAAAAAAAGGAGAAGTAGAACTTAAGACAGAGACAGTTCAAATGGGAAAACTTATCCAAAAATAGCAAATAAGTGGGTTTAGGCCTATAGGGTTTTTTTCCTTCTTCCATACTGGGGTATCAGCCGTCCCTTTTGCTCTGTAGTCTTTCGATCTGTCACCCACTTGATGTCCACAGTGACTGTACTCTAACTGGCTAGTTGTACATAGTAAAAGGACAACGGGGCCCGATTTTCATGTACAAGACGTGCAACCACAAACACCTGGCGTGTTCATGTTGGGTTATTTTCAGGAATCTTTGAAATGTGAGTATGATTAATGATTTGTTTGATCTTAATTATTGTGCTGCATTCCACGGGGAACACACAGAACTAGGAAGTGAGATCTCTATCTGACTTAATAAAGAGGATCTGCTTGAAAGAATTCAGAAAAATGACTGCCTAAGTCTAGAGAAATATTCAGAGCTATTCCAACATAATGCAGTCGGTATAGCTGCAGAAGCTTCTCGTCACCTCCTCATGTGAATGTGTCTTCCCAGGACGGATGTGACAAATCCCAACAAACGTCTGCATGTCGTCCAGGTACCAAGCTCAGGGTTCAAAGATAGCTCAAACAACTAATGGTTTTGAAACAGGAGAAGTTTCCAAAAGAAACAAAGTTCCTACAAATGGATGACTTGAATGCCGACTGTTCCCTCAAACCCCGGACTCGGCTACCCCTTGACTCACTCCTTAGCACCCGGGCTTAGACATCTATAGGCACCTCGCACTTTGCCAGTCCAAACAGAACTCTTTTATTTGTTGCAATTTCACCTCCCGCCCCCCCCCAAGTTGCTGCCTCCCTATCTTCTGTATCTGGTTATACAACACATCCTTCCCCTTGGGCTCCAAAGCCCAAGAGTCATCCTTGATCCATCTCTACCCCTTACCCAATCTGTACCAACCCACTCACCAGTCCCATTGGCTCAGCCTTCGAAACATGACTCAATGTAATGTTTTGATCACTTCCCCTCTGGGCCATTTGGGAGAACTCTTACATCTTTTCACTGCTTACAAATTTTCTCCTCTACCCAGATGGCAACCAGAGGGCTCTTCTAACCTTATCATCAGGCCTCTGCTTAAAACCTATTTTCTCTAAGAATGAAATAATCCACTCTTTACCATGGTCTATACTTCAACAGGAGCCAGGCCCTGCCCTCCAACCACACCCATCGCCAGCCACAACAGCCTTCTCTCTGCCCCAAAACACACCAACCTGTCGGCAGCTAGGGACCTTTACAGCCAGTTCTTTCCTCTGCCAGAAAAACTCTTCCCTACCACCATCATTGAGACTTAGCTCAAATATCCTTCCTTTCTTCCTTCTCCCATTCTTCCTTCCTGTCTCCCCTTCTCCCTGGCTCCCTTATAGAAGACTTCACTTCTTTCCTTCTGCACAGAGGAAGGAACAGGGCTGACCAGTGTTGACATGCGTGCCCCGGACCCTGTTGTTCTCTCCATCAGCAGATCCCTGAGTGCCCATTGTTGGTAGGTTTATTAGAACACAGAGGCTGTAAATGTTTGGGCTTGTAGCAGATGTACAGAAAGGGCAAAGAAAAGCTACACACATTTCCTTACTTGGAGACGGCAAGTTTTTATTCTCCTAGGGCATAACCATATTTTTATCAGATATATAGGTAGAACTTTCCATCCTATGATCTTATGCTTTCATAGCACAAAGTAAACAAAACTGTCAGAATCTTCAAACCTGATGTTGGTAACTTATTGGCTGTGGAGATCAAAGGAGGAGCCCTGTTATCAAAGTAAGCCTCTCTGAATGGGCTCCCGGGCACCGGAGGAACTTCTGGTCACTCTGCCTCGTGGGGGACTCAGTAGAGGGTGCCAGGTGGGGAAGGAAATCAGACTAAAGCCCTCCAGGCCTTTGGGCTTAGAGCTCAAGCTGCAAATTCAGAAGGAAAAGGCAGAGGAGGGCTGATGAATGATCTAGAGCCAGGAGAGAGGACAAGGGCTCCCTTGCCACCCACTTCCACCTGCCCTGGAAACCCCCAGTTTCTGATCCCAGGCTGCAGCACCCTATGAGGCAGTATCTCTTATTTATGGAGGCCTATAAGGGCATATCATCTCATTTCTTTCCAGAAAGCAACTCACGTCTTTACATCTTGGACTCCAGCCTCCTGTCTTAAGTCTTTTCTTTGAGGATCGAGGGTTACGATACTCAGTCAATGTAGAAAAAAAGGAAAGGCACACCCCACATGTTTCCACTCCTATCACCGGTCAAATTTTTCAGAAAGGCCTGTCTCCAAACTGCCAAGAAATTGCTAGCTCAGGCTGGCATCGAGCTAAAACTCTTACAGAAAGTCAAGCTTGTCCAGGCTGCTGAGGTACGGAGAGGACACGGTAGGGACTATTTGCAGCAACACTCCAGGCCTTCTAACTCCATGTGGCTGGTCTATAGCCTGATGGAGGTCATGCTTACGTAGCTCTGTACACGGATTAAAACCTAGAGAACTATACATCAAAACCAACACCAACAAAACACTCATGGTTTAATGGTTTTTAAAATGCCCTGACTAGAAAGCAAGTGATCTCACACTTTGCAACCAGCGAAATTATACCACGTCCTCAATCTCACCCTAGCCATCTAGCGCTTCATATTGGACACCTCCCCAGGAGGTGGCAAATATAACATGAGAGATCGCGTGCAAAGGTGCAGAGGTGTTAAATCCAAGTACATGGGAGTTACAGTCTGCATACTTACTACAGAGTAAGTGTATGACTGGGGTCTTTGCAGGGCAGTATGCTAGTAAAGTCTACCTATCTCTGCTATCATACAAGCTATTTGCAGCAAAGATGCATTTCAGGACACTCGTGTGACGTCTAGTACGAAAAATCAGGAGGCCAGGAGATGTGACCTGGAATCCGAAGGTTCTCAACCGATTACCATCTCATAGCCAGTCTCCGGTGGCAGAGCCAAGGCACGTTGACCATACAAGAGCCATCCAAGTCTCCCATGATAAGGGAAATGACGTGAACAACCAGATACGACGTATACCTACGCAAAAAGGTCTCGTCTCACTTTTTAATAGAGAATATCCCCAAGAAGCATCATTCAGCTCTGAATAAATTGCTTTGTCTCCTCAAAGTCTTCCATATACACATCTGTAAAAGTGAAACAAGCTCCTAAGTTATTATGAGGAGTATGCACAGGTAATTTCATTCTATTACAAAATGCCTAGAACACTCCCCGCATACAGTAAGCGCCTACTATGTTTGTTGGCAATGCTCGTTGCACTGCCAACGATACTAATTGTATGACCAGGGGGTCCTCGTAGTGGCGAAAATCCCTCCTCCAACGTCTCTCCATCCTCTGTCTCACTAGTTTTCGACCCCTCGCTGCACAGTCCACTTGCCTGCGATGCTTTTTGAGAATGTGGATGCCAAGCCCCAACCCTAGCTCATCCAATTTCATCTGGGGACAAGTCATTTAGCTTTTAGTATTTCCTAAAGTTCTTCAGGGCATCCTAATGCTTCGCCAGGGTTGAGAATCACTGAGTTACAAAAAACAATTAATGGACTGCAGAATTCAGGCTGAATCGCATTTTCCAGAAATAAAAAAAATAACAGACCAAATCCAGGCTGATGTGAATCATGGGTCACTCCCATCATCTCTGCTGAGAGACCGTGCAACATGGGTATCACGTCAAAGGGGAATGTTGGTAGAGAGCTGATGATCACAGAAGGACTCCCAGACTCCAGCAGACCACCGGGCAGCTCCCCGTTGGGGTACATAACAAACCTGAAGAGGGCCAGCTCACAGGCTGCCCGAGGACTGGCATAGGCACCACTGGGCAGGGGGAGAGCTGACCCCCTAAGCCACATGGGTTGCCCAATTTTGTGGGTCTTCACAAGTCTTTCCAAAAATAATTTTCAGAGCTTATAGTTTGACATATTGTTCCTGCAAGCAATGCTTAGCACATGTTGTCCCGGTGAACCTCTTGTTTCAAGGTAAAAGGGGAGGTAAAAGCATAAACCTCCATCCCCAGGGTTTCTCCAGATCCTACTCGACTTAAACAACCAGAGGGTATTCCATCAGTCCTGGAGACACTCATAGGCGATCCCTACAAACGCTTTAAGGGACCACAAGGATCTGAAAGGAGGAAGCTTCCAGAAAATCTGTAGCAGACGCACAGCCTGGTCCCAGCCCAGTGAGGTGCCTGTCTCGGCAGGCTGTGGGCCTGGAGTGGAGAGGAGGTGAGCGAACCTGGTCAGCAGAGAGGCTCGATGAGGCACCCAAGTGAATCCAACAGAGACTGTGAACACAGCTGATAGAGGAGAAACTGCTAGAAGCACTGATGTGAAGAACTATTGAACAGAATGAGCCATGTATTATAAATAGCAACAGTCACTCTTATGTGAGAGAGAGAGAGAGAGAGAGAGAGAGAGAGAGAGAGGAAAGGAGCCCCAGGGTCATCACTGAATGGATTCGGGGAGATACGGCTTATAGCACTGACTGTCACTGGTGACAAGGGTAGCCCGGGGGTGATAGAGGGAATACGACAGGCAGCAGAACAAAAGACCTGGGTTCAAATCTCAGTCCTATCTTACACTCATTGAATGGCCTTGGAATCAGCACTTAATTTCCATGAGGCTTAATGGCCTCATTTGCACGATGAGGATATTCACAGTAGCAGCGACAGGATTGTTATGAGAAGGAACAAGACATATATAAAGCATTGAGCACACTGCCTGCCTGGCATATAGATAGTAAGTGCTTAACGAATGGTAGCTTCCTCAGCTTATATTATCTGATTTTATCATCTATAATCAATTTGATAATTGTATTTATTATTGAGGAAATCCAAGAGAATCCTGAGGTCAGGGGTCAGGTTTAAGGATGAATATTAATATGAGATCATTATTTGACAGTTTCTATTACTTTCTGATTCTATCTTTGATCGGTCTTCAAAAAGATACAAAAAATTCTCCCCAATAGCTTGACAAAAACACCTTTAGCGATGTGCAAATGCATTTACAGAACCTTCCCGGCACAGAAGTTATTCTGGACTCCTAAGTCTCGCATTAGCAAATCTATTTTTGTCTGAATGGGTCCCTGAAGAATAAAAACGCTTTAATTCTAATCCCTCTTATGGAAACTATAATATGCATCAGTGTCAATGTCAAAAGAGCCGCCTGTACACTCCGTCAATTTTGATCAAACACCAGCAATGCTTTTCAGAGTCTTTCTTCAGCCCCCTTTAAAAAATCACACTCATAAGCAACTGAAATCCTTTCCTGTTTTATTTAGAAACAGCCATTTCACACGGGGTTCTGGTTACCTACAACACAATCATCTCCCCCCCCCCCACCCCGGAGTCTGGGCCTCTGATAAGACACTGTTAATGAAGGAGTCACTGTTAAAGGCAACACTGCAACTTAGCTTTGTCCTTGCCAAAAAATTATGTTAATGCCACACTTTCCACCATTAACTATGGGTTACGTTTCTCTAAGAGGCAGCTGTTAGCACACACCAGCCGTGGTTAACAATGAGGAGTTTGTGTGCTGAGTAAACGTCTCCAATAGCTCCATTTATTATAATTAACGCGGCCCCAAAGACACTGTAATGGAGGAAAATTGCTTGCACAGCTTTATTTAAGCTTTAATGGAATTATTTTCCACTGAATTAAAACAAATGGCTTTATTAACTATCAATACTGGAAATACATCGATAAAAATGCCTCTTAGAAAAAAATCTTAAGTGTTTATCCAACCAGTTAACAAAAGCAGAAACATCCTGAAAACACTTTCTTGATGCTAAGTGATAAAAAAGGGCATTCCAGACACTGAAAAACATATTCAAATGAAACTGCCATCAAGTACAATTTAGAAAGTGGTTTCCATTTCTAATGAATTTTAAAAGAAAATTAACGCTCCCCTCTTTGTATTTCGGGCTCAAAAGCACTGTTTTGTTTTATAGTGCATCTCTTTTTTTTTTTTCTTCATTAAATCTGAATATACATTTTAGGATGTCAAGGGCACATTTGTAGAAGGAAATTACCTTCAGGATCAAATGATCAGTACACTACTGCTAAAATAACAACCTAAATATAAATACGAATTTATTGCCAAATTAGCTCAGGGATTCATCATAATCATATATGACCTCATCCAGGTAGGCATGGCGTGTCAAAGAGAGATAGAATCACCTAGGTTTCTGTTTCGTCCCATTAGATTTTCCTCCCAAAGTAATTACTATAGTCAACTGATCCTACCTGTGTAACTCTAACACCCCCATTAACACAGCAGCCCCAAGCCCTGCACAGGGCAAGGCTCGAACGAGCTGCCAGGTTAAGTTTTCTTCCATAAGAAGTAGCCACCATGAGAACGGACATTTCCCATTACATGCTTGCTGCACAAAGCACTCTTGATAACTATGGTGGAAGACAAGCAGGATGTAGCCAATTTAAGAGAGAAACAAACGAGGCTGAATCAATCAGCATCTGCATTATTGTCACCGATGGTTAGCACCGACACCGATCTAAGCACCGTGCTAAGTATCCTCCAGACCTCACCCTGTTGAGTTCCTATGACAACCATCCCGTTACCTCCACTTTACAGCAAAGGAAGCCGAGGCTCAGGAAGGTGAAGGCGACCATGCACAATGCTGCACGGCTAATCAGCATGGGATCCTGGACTTGACCACAGCTGCCTGCCTCCCTGCCTTGCTCAGAGACTCCAGGCTGGGGACCACAGCGTGCTTTGAGGTATTGAGCCTTCTGGCTCCAAGGGCAGCTCAGGCTGGGCAGTCTGAGGCCACCCAGGGATGGCCAAGGCAGAGGAGGGTCTGAGCTAACAACATCTGGCACTCACCAGCTAGACAGGACCTCTGACTGAACGTCACTCCCCCCACCTCACCCAAGGGCAAGGGGTCTGCAGACTGTGGAAGAACTTGATATCCTGGGAGTCCAAGGAACCAGCACTGCAATGGGTAGGAGAGGGGGGAGGGGGCAAGTTAGGTGGGGCCCAGATTCCAGGGGCAACTCAGAACCTCTGGCTGCCTCGGGTCCGTTTCTAGCTGATGTTCTATTTTAGTGGGTCCTGACTAGCCACAGGACGGTACGCTGTGAGGGCACGAGCCTTCTGCAGTCATCATTATTTTGAAATACTTGATACAAAGAGTTAGCTTGGGTTAGAAATCCATTCTCATTATTGCAAAAAATGCCAACGTTGTATTCGTCAACTATCGAAAAGGAAGCTCTGCTTGATTCCTTAGATAAAACTTCAATTGATGCAAATTTTGTGAAGGGTAGTGTGGTAGGCTGAACAAGGCCTCCCCCCGCCCCCACCACAAGGTTATCCACATCCTAATCCCTGGAATGTGTGGATATGTGACTTTACACGGCGAAAGGGACTTTGCAGATGTGATCAAGTTAGGGATCCTGAGGTGAGAAGCTTATCCCTGATGATGTGGGTGGGCCCAATATAATCATAAGAGTCAGGAGGGCCAGAGTCGACGCAGGCATGATGATTAGAGGTTGGTGGAATGTGCTTTGAAGACAGGTGGAGAGGCCACGAGTCAAGGAATGTAGGCGGCCTCTAGAAGCTGGAAAAGGCAGGGAATAGACCTTCCCCAGCATCTTCAGAAGGAATGCCACCCTGCCAACACCTTGATTTGAGCCCATTAGAACCCATTCTAGATGAACTGTAAGATCATGAATTTGTGTTGTGTTAAGCTACTAAATTTGTGGCAAATTATCACGGCAGCAATAGGGGATTAGCACAGCTGTTAAAATGGTTTTACATTTTAAAAATCACCTCTTGGCACACCTGGGTGGCTCAGTCGTTCAGGCATCTGACTTCAGTTCCGGTCATGATCTCGTGGTTCCTGGGTTCGAGCCCCGCATCAGGCTCTGGTGCTGACAGCTCAGAGCCTGGAGCCTGTTTCGGATTCTGTGTCTCCCTCTCTCTCTGCCCCTCCCCAACTCGCTCTCTCTCTCTCTCTCTCAAAAATAAATAAACATTAAAATTTTTTTAAAAAAATAAAAACCACCTCTTTATGTAAATAAAGTTTCTTGTCAGTGGTAATTCTCAAGGAGTTGAAGAAATTTTCATCAAAAAGCCTATAACGGGGAATTGGATGAAGTCTTGTAAAAGGCTCGTCACTCTCAGGGATAAATTCGAAATGTTTCTCTTTGTAAGTTTCCCATGACTTCCAAATGTAAGATCTTCCCTAGTATTTTGTATCTTGTTTTTCTAACAATTATACAATTAAAAAGAAAACATAACAAGTGTTTTCATCATACCTCATATAGATACCCCCTCCCCCCATCCTCACCAGTTTACCAGTGTGCCATAAAAACCTCAGCATTTTCAAAGTATTTCTGGACTGGTAAAGTTTTGACGCACTGTTTCACTTAACAAACACACAGAGAACATCAATCAAATAGAGTGCTGCCTTTGACAAAGGGCTTCAGTCCGACCAAACTGCCATTGCTCTAAGTCTGGAATTTCTCTTTGGCTTTGTTATCAGGGCCAACAGTATGGGTCACACCCCATTACACACACGCGCGAGCATGCACGCACACACACACACACACACACACACACCACACATCATACGATTTCAGAACAGGAAAATCACCACAGATAGACCGTCCGACCCCTCAATCTACAGAGGACACAACTGAATTCAAAAGAGGTCGAGTAATGAGGCCAAGACAGAAGGCTGATTAGCAAGGAAGGGTTAAGAATAGACCTAGGTCACTGGTGCTCATTCCAGAACATAACAGTCTTACCTCATGCCACGTTTTTACCCTAAATGGTATTTTCAAGCTTGAGCCCCTGGCTTACTCTCCGAGCTTAAACTGGAATGAGTTTGTGCT